ACTGTGCTCTTACCCTGATCTCAATGGACTTTACTACACTGGACTGTACTTTAACCCTGATCTCACTGGACTTTACTACGCTGGACTGTGCTTTTACTCTGATCTCACTGGACTTTACTACACTGGACTGTGCTTTTACCCTGATCTCACTGGGCTTTAGTGCACTGACTGTGCTTTTACCCTGACCTCAATGATTTAATCTCTCCCTACTGGTCAGAACGGGTGGTGGTCTGTGGTCCTGTGATGGCTGGTGTTGATGTTTTCTCTGGCCACGTATCAAATACCAGCCCAAAGAGAAGACATGATTCAGGTGCCCACCCACTATTTTAAGTCATTTTTCAGTGCCAGTTGATCCATGTGAGTGATCCATCTGCAGTGCTTTTCAGACGTACTATCTCAATATATACTGTACACTATTTCTGTAAAAGCTCCTTGTTGTATCAACTTGTAAACTTGTAATAACAGACTAAGCTCTATTAATTGGTTATTATTAGTAGTAGCAAAAGAAGAAATAATAATTCTTTGCATTTAAAAAGCACCTCATCCCAAGGAGTCCCAAAGCTACAAGCAGCTGCTGCACAACTACACTCTGATCTTGGAGTGTGCTGTAAGTACATACATTATAAAACATTGTCTAAAGGATCACCAGTACAACCAGAAATCAGCTCATTAATCAAGTAATTGAGTTCAAGGTTGATTCTACATTCTTGCTTCTGGAAAGTCAGTCTTGTAAATACAGTGTAGGCGTAGACTCTACAATGACTGTGTCTCTGGCAGGAACAGAGTCAGATATATTGATTAGTTGTCCTATATAACCTCAATCACAGTCTATCAAGAGCCTGGAGGATCGACTGTTAAGACATAACATGCCTGTCAGCAGAGTGACCAAACTGCACAAGCAAACAGACAAGCTCGGCACACTCTGACCAACATGAGAGCAGCACTCTTCCCTCAGTCGATAATGTAGCAGTTAAACGGATCGATCAATTGATCAATGAGATGATCAGCAATGGGCGCCAGCCCTGTTCTTACCGGGAGAGGCTCCGCAGATAGCCCAGCGTCTGAAACCCATGTCCCGCAGACAGACAGTGTGAGAGTTCGCACCCTGCAGCTCAGCGCCTCTCTCTCCAATACCCAACAGCCCACCTCACGCCCCCCGTCTGACCCAGGTGGGGACACTGCTGGCCAGCTGCTCCACAGGCGTCCAAACACACGGCCCCACACGCACACGCTCTCCTGCAATCCCCTGTGCTCTGTCGTGCCCAGCCTGTCTCTATCGCCCCATCAGAGGAAACGTCAGAGACCCGGGAGGCAGCAAAATCACGTCAGCGTTTCCTGCCGACATGCTGCAGCTCACACGCTGCAGAACAGAGCCCAGAGGATTTCATCCGAGCCCAAAACCCTCTGACCGCGACTCCTGCCTCAGCGCAGGTCAGGATCTTCACATGCAGGTTCAAGATGTCTAGACCCCTCTGTCCGGGAGTGTAAACACAGACGTTTCAAGGTGTGCTGCCGAGAGCCAGTTTTGGAGAGACTCAGCGCTGTGCTGTGCGTGGGACCGGGCTCAGTCTGAGCCAGTTGACAGCGGAAACCATGTAGGTAGCAGACTTTCCCCCTTCTTCAAACACAATCCACCCGCCCACTTTCGAACCTCTGGGAGAGTTGAGTTGCCCTAGCAGGGGGATGATGAGACAGGTGGTCGCGCCTCACTTCCTGTCTGGTGTTGTAGTGTTTGAGGCTGCACCATTGCGTGCTTGGTGTTGTGATGGGCCCATGTCTCCGTCTGTGTCGGGAGCCAGTGACGAGCCTGTGACAGGGCTGTGTTGTGCTGGTGTCAATCCGGTGTTGAGCCTGGGTGAGGCCGGTGTTGGGCCTGTGTCTGACCTGTGTGTCAGACTGCATCTT